AAATCAAACAAAAGGAAATAGTTTTGCACACAAGGCACAATGAAATTACCTTGTCAAAGCTAAAAGTTAAATGAGTACAAAAGAGGACAGGATGAATTAATTCATAGAGAACAGGGGCACCTACAACTATTAATTATGCAGATTCAGAAGCAATCACTTGATCACAAATTTCCCGATGGCTAGAAGAGAAAGATCATGCCCTTTCCCAAACTGTCCATCTAAATTCTTGCCCACCGCACCACTGGAGATGACTGCAAACGCAGTGCCTGTCTGATCTGACCTAGCGTGGCTCTCATTCTAGGAGAACAACGCGCTAATGAAGCTTTAAGCCAATAATAAATTTGGACATGTTAAAAAACATTGATGAAAGCAGAAACAAACAATACAGGACATGAGCTCTTAGAAACAGTGCAGGAAGTAAACAAAGACTTAATTTGGAAAATGCAGCTAATACATCTGGGATGGATCATCCACACCACTTCCCCCCCCAGATGTTCAAAGATGGAGAGGCTTGAGGCAGTGGGAGAAAGAGGGTGAGCAGGAACATACCGTGCCACAGCAGTGAGAGGAATATAAATGCAAGCCTTGTCCTCCCCATCACTCCATGGCTGAGGGTCACAGGCACCAAGGAGCCCATCCCTCCAGAGCCAGCCGTGGAAAGGCTCCACCTGGTGTATTTGTTTTAATTCTGGCCATATCATTACCAGAGGAAGATTGGAAAATTTGAGGAAAGTTCAAGCTAAGAGCCATAAGAATGAGCCAACTAGGGAGAGCGTGTGCTGAGAGAAAAACGATGAGCCATGACAAGTATGTTTGCCTTGGCAGAGCCACAGCTGTGGCTGCACGCAGAGGCACACAGCCGCGCGGTCCCACAAACGAGGGGCACAGGCCCCCCCATCCTTCACCTGTTTTGGGGGGGTTGCAGTGCCAGCATGATGCCAGTGGTCCTGCCTGGGGAGGGTGAGAGAAAAACGAGGACAGAGGACTGCAGCCATCCGGTGTGTGGCAGGGGAAAACAAACTACTTTGGGGAGGTCAGGATGAAGCTGAAGCAAGGAAAGAAGGAGTTTGGGCACTAGCAGCCTTTCCTGGAGTGAGGTCACCCGTGTGAGGTGCCCAAAGCCTGGGAGGGACCACAGTGCCTTTCCTTGCCGGAAGGGGATGCTGCCCATACACCAGAAAATTCAGATCCAACCCAGGAGAACAGCAGAGAACTGGCAAGAGAGGAAATCCCATCTCAGGACTTTTCCACGTTTAGTGCCAGAAGCTCCATTCCACTGTTGGCAAGTTCCCATCTTCTGGAAAACAGCGCGAAAACTTTTCTGGCATCGATTCAGAAGTCTTTATTGTGATAAGGATACAGAGATTTGTGTGTGCATCAGAACAAAGATCCATTTCATCAGGGCTGAGCCGCAAAAGGAAAGTGGATGGCCTGGGCGGCAGGGACTGTTGTCCTCGGTGTGTGTGTCCCAGCCCCTCCTGAATGGGCTGTGGAGCCCTGTGATGCAGCTGGCAGCCCCACAGAGCCTGCACGTCCCCCTTGGCACAGAGCACGGGAAGAACTGGGATGGACGAGGAGGAGGCACGTGTCCAGCTGAGAGCTGCTCTTGGAGAAGCTGGGGAGGCCCAGCCAGCACCAACATTGGAAATCAGCCTCTCCCCACAGAAGTGGAGGCCCCACTTCCGACAGCTTTCTTCCAAAGGGAGGCTCCTCTGTGCTTTGCTGTAGGGCCAGAGAAATCAGCTGCAGTCCGTGCACGGAAGAGAGCTGGTTGCGTCGGGTAGAAGAGCGAAGGGTACTTAGAGCCTGAGGTGGGGACTGGTTGTTTTCTGCAAGAGGTGAATGTGCTGCAGGCACCCAGGCTTTCTCTTCTGACCCCCGAAAATCTCAGCCTCACTAATGGTTTTGCCTCAGACCTGACACTTGGATGAACGTGAAACATCTCGTGGAAGTCATCAGTCCCAGAGAGACCAGACTGCTCCAGCACCCTGCAAAGCTATCAAATCCCCCTGCAAGGAACCTTCCCAAAAATGGACTACTCAACATTTGAACCCAAATCAGAGACACTCCTCCCTCCTTGCTGCAAAACATCTCAGGGCTTCCTATGGCAAAACCACAAGGTCTGGAATCTCGGCAGCCCAGCAGAACTGATCAGTGAATAAACATTTGCAAGACAAGAAGATAGGATGTTAAAAGATGCTTTAACCCAGAAGAGCAAAACTGTACAGGAACCAGTGGCTGGAAATTGGAACCAGAGGCTGGAAATTAAAGCCAGAAGCTATCAAATTAGAAATAAGGCACAGATAATTATCAGCGAGGCAGAACAACTGCATTAACAAGAGAAGTGATACCATATTATTTCTGGCATATTTGGAAATTCCCCCCACTATTGTTAATGGTCTTCACATATGCATTGGGTGGCACCGGAACGCACATTTGAGCTGAATACAGCTGAGTCAGATGCAGCACAGAAGCAAAAAAATTAATGTTCATTAAACTTGAACTCTTTGTCTAAGGATTTTGAGTAGCCTCCATGGATAAAGTCCTGCAATAGCAAGAGAAATGGGAAGGAAAAAAAAAATCCATGCTGTTTGGGGAAGGTTGAAGTACAGCCAGTGATACGCAAAGGTCTCACTCTGATAAGATGCCTTCAGTCAACCAGTTCCTGGAGTTTTAGCCTGCTCAAATGACTTTTAAATGGCATGTCTAGTGTCACCTTAGAAATTCTAGTTCTGGAGAGACAGATTCATAAATGTAGTCTAAAAGTAATACGGTTTGAAAATAATGTAACATATTTTGTATTTATCTTAGTTTGAGGCCTTCAGGTTGCACTCAAATAGTATTTACAGATTTAAAAAACCCCACAAAACCCAAACCAAAGAACAAGAGAAGGAACAGAAGAGAATAAGTGAAGATACCAGCTGATGACCTGACCCTAGAATCAAGAGCTAACATTAATACTATGGGACTTGCAATAAAGATAAAAAACATTGCTAAAGCTTTTCTCCCAGGTTCTGTATTTGACCTTTTCCTTTGGCATAAACCCTTAGCAGGGACCAGAAGAGCAGACTGGCACAGGCTTTCTCTCCACACCAGCTTCCACATGGAGTTTCTGCATCAATTTCTGAAGTGACACAATGGATCTGCCAGTTCCAGCATCACAGACACAACTAAGCAGCTACCAGATCCCTGAGGAGGTCTCATGGGAGGAATTACCATTCTCTGCAGGTTTCCACACTCCTCATGGGGAGGAAGGATTCACCAGGTTAAGCAGGGAGCTTCTCCAGGGCACCTGCTCTGCTATGAAGACTCCGTATACGAGGAAGGTGGCACAGGACGGGGTGTGCTTCAAGTGAGGCTGACTGGGGAGCTGAAGCAGCTCTCATCACACACTCCTCCTGCATGCCTTTCAGTTGTGACCAAAAACTACTGTTAATCTTTCATCTACCTGTCTTTGCTGAAAACAACAGAAGGAAGACTCCATCTCTAGATGAATTCCAACATCTCAATGTATTTGCAGA